CATCCTAGGTGTATATGACTTTCTTCTTTCAGACGAATCCAGTCGGCGTTATATTAAAAATAGTCTTTAATCTTTCAAGCTGTTTAATGGCACTCAGCGGGTGTTGTAGTGCATCAGAAATAAAAAGCGCCCATCCTTAAAAAAAAGTGTCTCACACGGCTCCAGGGTGTGAACAAAGGCCTCTTGTAGCGAATCGATGCGTTTTTGTAAGAAGAATATCCATATTCAAAACGTAATAATCACTTTAATCTAGCTCGCGCCAACAGTCCTACACGGAAGCAGCTCCGGGCGGATGACGTATGAGGTCAGCGGTGCGCATGCGCCGGTGAGTCTCGTGAAAACCAACGTTTGTTAACAGCAAAGTTTCCTTACTTTAGCAAAGGAAAACCAGTCTCCTCTTGGCTTATATCGAAATCCTCCGACATTCTTCTTTACAAATCCTCGTTTTGCACTTCTCATTACTGACCGTTGTTTTGTTTCGATCTCTCCGCTGGGTTTAAACGTGCGTCACTTCTGACCTGACCTCATACATCATCCACCCGGAACTGCTTCCGTTTACAACAGTGAGCGCAAGCTAGATGAAATTGATTATTACGTTTTAAATATGGTTATTTTTCGTACAAAAACGCATTGATTTGCTACAGGAGGACTTTGTTCACCCCCCGGAGCTGTGTGAGACACTTTTTATTAAGGATGGGCGCTTTTTATTTAACTTCTTTTGGACTGATTCCCTGCAACACCTGCTGAGTGCCATTAAACGGCTTAAAAGATCAAAGACAATTTTTTATATAACTCCGACTGGATTCGTCTGAAAGAAGAAAGTCATATACACCTAGGATGACTTGAGGGTGAGTAATTTATGGGCTAATTTTCATTTTTGGGTGAACTAACCCTTGAATCTGTTAATACTAAGAGAAGTACAGCATTAAACCAGTGACACTGGACAGTGTCTACAGCAAAATCCCATTCTTATCATTTAGCATATTGAGGAGCAGGTCAGTGTGTGCGTGTGTGTGTGTGAAAGAAAGAGAGAGGGCAGTCAGCATGACAGCAAGGCGGCTGTTCTCTCATGCAGAAAGTGCCGGAAGCGTCTCACCCTTCTGACATCATTCATTCTTTATGACAACCCCCCACCCCCACCCCCCTGTCCAGTCTTTAACCACATTCGCATTCACAAGGGCACCACAAACAGGAACATGCAACCCTACAGAGAGAGAGCAGAAGCTACATAGAATCAGAACAGAATCAGTCCATGCCACACCAGATGCTACATGATACAAGCGATAAAAACCAGGACTGCTATAGTCCTACAACCTCACCCAACAAAATGAGCCCAGACAAACCAGGGTCAGACTAACAAAGTGACCGTGACTGTCGGTCAACAGAGCCTGAATATCCACCTTGAGCTGCAACATTAGAATTCAGATAACGCAGCCGTCTGCTGAGGCGCATGACACCAGATTTTAAAGGAATAGTTCACCAAAAATCTAAATTTGCTAAAAATGTACTCACTCTGACACAATCCAGGATGTAGATGAGGTTGTTTCTTCATCAGATTTGGAGAAATGTAGCATTCCATCACTTGCTCACCAGTGGATACTCTGCAGTGAATGGGTGCCGTCAGAATGAGAGTCCAAACAGCTGATAAAAAAAACATTAATAATCACAATAATCCAAAAGTAATCCACACCACTCCAGTCCATAAATTAACATCCTGAGAAAAGCGGAGTGTTTGCAACTTCAAACTGTTGGTTCCTTTTAAAATACAAGGCCTCTGTCCATATTGATTTCTCCAATGAAAAAAGATATGCACAGATCAAGCATCGTTTGCAAGCAAAACATAGTTCTAAAAAATTGAAAAGATTTTGATGTAAGAGGACAAAAAGGGATAGACTTTTTCACTGGGGGAAGCTGTTGAATTGTTTGTATAACAGTCCATTTCAAGGTTTACATCCTTAACCTTTTTTTGTTCATGGCTGAATACTGCATAGGCAATGATATGTAAATGTAAGTGTTAATATGTTAATAAACTGTTGTTTGTGCAGCTTAGTTGTAGATGGAGCTGCAATGCTAATGTTAGATTATCGCTACACTGCACATCAAACTTTTATTGTTTCAAATGAGCAGGAAAATCCACAATACGACTGACTATATAATACAAAAAGAAATAATACACTCAGAGCAGAGCTGCTATTAAATCTGCAATATAGAAGAGAATGAAATTTGCCATTGAGCAGTAAGAAAGCCATTGTGAGTGACACAGGATTTTAATGTCTCTGTGAATGTGCGCTTAGAAAAGTGCACCAGGGGAACGAATGCAACCCTCGGCTTTTATATTAGGAAACTTCTGCCATTTCTGATAGAATGTGCTTGACATAATGAACATAATTATACATCACACACACCGCCACCACTCACATTTTGTGGCGTCTCAGTCATTCGCAGTGTGAGTTGTTTTTCGCACCCGAAACACAACAACGGCACCATCAGGAAAACTTCATCACACTGTTTCTTCAAACACACGAACAAATCATCACACCCAGCAGTCTTCATGAAAGCTGCACACTGTTTTAGCAACTTAGTTGTAGCAGATAAATATGGAAGCTTGTTTCCTCCACAGGATAAAAAATAAAGGTAACTGTGACTTTTTACCTCCCACTTCTGACTTCTGAATTCCCTCAGAATTCTTCAACTTACAATTCTGACTTGAGTCTTGTGAGTTTATATCCTGCAAATGACCTATCAGTAAGCCCCTTCCCTCGAATGCAGATGAGGCAATGGCAGTCGAGTATATATATATTTCTCGTGGACCGGCTGGACAGGTATAGTATTATAATAGCATTATATAGTGGTTCAACGCACAGATCGGACTATTTTTTTGGATAAGCAAGAAAAAAAATATTTAAAGCACAGAGAATAACAATGCCGTGAAGGGTTTTTGACATAGGCTAATTTTATGTGTAGTCATAATGCAGGTCATGTGTGCAGAATCAGGGGACACAGAGCCCAGGGCTGTGTTTTTATGACTATGTCTAAACTTAAATATTAAACCTCAGTGTTTAACAAATTTTTGTGCTCCAGACATGAGTTATTCCTCAAATAATGTGTCGTGCAATTTTTTTCCCCCAAATCTCTCTCTCTCTCTCTCTCTCTCTCTCTCTCTCTCTCTCGTCCTCACAAAGATACGGATGCGCATTAGTGTTGACATGGGCGGTGATAAAATTGTGGCACTGTTTTCCCAAGAGCCGATCCGTCCTTTCAGCCGCTTGATTGTAGGGATTTTCACATCATGCAGAGTTGCGCTTTTATTTAGTTATTTATGTCATCTACAGCATTCAAAAGCACCGAGGGTTTGAACAAGATCCCACTGATGCTTTATGTGTGCGTTTCTTTTTGTTTCTCTCCTGTTTATAGTCTGTCAAACGTGTTGTTGATTTGGATCAGTGTTATTTTAGTAACACTGAGATACTAAAATAGGCTTTATCCATATTTTGAACCGTAGTTTGAATTTTTGTTATTTTTGGTAGTTTGGTTTTCATAGTCATTTATTAATTCTTCAGTCTGTCATTTATTAATTCTTATTTCAGTTTCAGTTATTTTAGTACATCGAGCATTTGTACATTTAGTAACATTTAAAATAAGAAATGTGAGAAATGCCTTGGCAACTAGCTGAATTTTAGTATTAGTTTATTTTTTAAATAAATAACTTACTGATCGCAAACTTTTAAATTTGTTCAACAAATATATTATTATTATTAATGTGTTAAAATATGTTATAAATATTAATTATTAT